AAGAACTAAGATACATCATGTACAGGTACAAGCACCCAATGATAAATGTAAACATATTGATTACCTAAAATGTACCAATAAAAGAATTTAAAAAAAGATGTTAGCCACCAAAATGCATAAACAACTGAGGACTATTACACTTACGTATTACCAAGGCCACCAAAATGTCAATGTTCTTCCTTATAATCTCAACCACTAGGTCTAAAGCATCCAATCTGCACTGGGTGAGTTCACCCAACATTTACAGCCTGGCAGATCATATGGAAGTGTAAAACAATCTTGTTAATTCACAGGTGTTTTAGTAGATAATATATTTTTTTAAAACTTCAGAACAATTCTGCAATTCAGACTTCTGGATAAATGACCTGCTACATTTTGGATCATCTTATAATTTATCAAATGTCAAACTCTTAGGAATGCACATCTCAATTATGTCACTTTTGTTATATAAAATTAGGATATATTTATTGGGATTTCCAGAAATGTACTGAAGAAAAGGTAAAACCTTCTTACATACTTGTTTCTTTAATTAGATAAAAATTTTTGTCTCTTAAAATTTAAATGTACCCAGGAAGTTTCACATTTTGGATCTACCCCATCAGTTGAGGATCAAGTTGCCAAAATAAAGCAAATTTTCCTAGAATTAAAAAGAAAACTGGCATCCTATCCAAAATCACTAAAAACAGTTAAGTGTTCAGTAATATGTCACAGTTACTTGACAGCAGACATGTAACAATACCTGTCCTCTCCTCAGATCTTCACTTGGGGGAAAGAAAAAAACCTGAAAGGTGGTAAAAATAAAACAGGAAAAGGAAAAGAAACTTAATAAAACATTTTTTCAAAACCAATGATCATTCTTTAATAGAACATTTTTACCTACAGATGAAATAAGAAACCTATATAATATTGATGCAGTAGAAATACTATAGAATTCTCTGTACTCTGCAATTTATACTATACTACAGAATACTATATAATCTTTAGTGGTTAAAAATGGCTGCTCAGGCCGGGGATTTAGCTCAGTGGTGCCGCTGCCTGCCTTAAAAGCACAAGGTCCTGAGTTCGATACCCAGTACCAAAAAAAAAAAAGGCTGCATATTCACTAAAGATGATCTCAAATATAAGGGTTTCATTTTTAATGATCAAATATTTATATAGTTAATATTTTTAAAGCCTTACAGGCACTTGTTAAAGTAAGTCAAGGTGGCTATTTTATGCAAAACATAAAACACACTATATACAACATATCGTATTGTGATTTTTATGCAACACATTTCTACAGAACAAAAATAACCCCCTTAATTATTTTGAAAACTGTTTATATTTAGATTTACTATCATTTAAAACTATTCCACTGCAACTGAGAAAAAAAGTATCACTCTAAGTCTGGTTTATGATCTAGGAAATGTCCCTGACTACTGTGGCAAGGAATTTGTAGAACAGAAGAGGTACACTTCTTTGATTACCATCTCTTATACAATCAAATATCCAAAAACATCCTTAAAGAGTTTTGGATTTACCTATACCATTTAGGAAGTGATTTTTAAAAAAAATGTTGGATCAACTCTTGCTTTGCTTACATGGTACTTCCTTTATTATCCTAAATTTGCTTCTTTAAACATTCAGCCTAGTTCTAGCCTACCAAGTTCTGACCCATGTTTGAATTCAACTACAAGAATTTTTGTTTGTTTGTTTTGAACACCTTGAGACTTGTGTGAGGTCTTAAAGAAGGAAGGCTAGTATAAAGGAATGAAGAAATGGCTTGTGTTTTTAGTAAGGCACTCAGGTCTTTTAAAATTCTTCACATTTCAATGTAAGATTAAAATGATAAAACAGAGATAAGATTTATAATCTCCCTATTCTTGACCTTCATGCTTCATTCAGCAGATACTTGAGTCCATAATATGTATTTGCCAGGCATTGTGTTAAATGCTGAGGATTTGGAGAGGAAAAACAAAGTCTCTGCTTTCAAGAGTTTACAGTCTACTTAGGATGAGACTTATAAATGTAAATTCTTAGCAGATCTTTTTTTTTTTTTTGTACCCGGGATCGAACTCAGGACCTTGCGCTTGTGAGGCAGGCGGGGGCACCACTGAGCTAAATCCCTGGCCCTTATAAATCTAAATTCTATATAGATCCACCCTGAAATCTTTTGGCTTGTAAAGAAAAATGTGGATGTAGTTGCTCAAGTAAGTGACTTTTTTTTTTTTGGTACTGGGGATCGAACTCAGTACCTTGAGCTTGCCAGGCAGGCATGATGCCACTAAGCTAAATCCCCAGGCCTTCAAGTAAGTGACTATTAAAAAAAAACACCTGATATTACTCTGGTATGATACAGTTGTTTTCTGATGTGAACTTACTGGGGAGCAGAGAGCATAATACTGGGTACCAATATTGTATTAGACTTCCGAATGAGAACTCTCAACCCTTCGCTCATTGGCTTCAATGTTTCCAAATTGTATCACAAGTAATTTAGTTGAAACAGCTGGACAAACAAAGGAAAAAAAATCTAGTCAATTAAAGTCTAATTTTAATAAATCTAGGCAATGCTGGCTCTGTTCAACATACTTAATACCAGAGTAGCAAGAATAATTCCTTGAAAATGGCAAATTGTAGAATTCTATCTGCCAGGTTTTGAAAAACATGGCAGTACCTGAAATAACAACACTTTACCAAATGACATGTATCAATATGTAGGGAGAATTTGTTTAAAGTAAGATTTTCTTACAATACTTTGTTTCTGAAAAATACATAACCTCTAACTACTGGCATAAATACACCTGAATTTTTCCACAAAAGATGTGAAATAGCTACACTAACATAAAGCAAAGCACAAGAACTGTATTCACCTGGCTTCATATTATGGCTCTGCCATCACTATTTATAATCTTTGTGCCCTTAACTTTTGAGATTCAGTTTCCTAATTTGTAACAATGGGGACCATAATCCTCCTTGCTGGGTCACAGGAAGGGTAAAAATGAAATGGCATGTAGAACATACTTGACATATAGTAGATGCTAAATAAATATTAATTTTGCACCTTCCTTATACAAATGCCTGCTATATAGAAAAAGGGTAAGGTGAAATTTTAAACGACTTCCCTCTACATATTGATACACGCCAAGCAGAAACGTGGACTATTTTAGGGTTGTAATTGTTAATGTCTGTATCTAAAAATCAGGGTCAATGCAAATTCAATTTCTTTCTTTTCTTTTCTTTTTTGGTACGGGGGTGGAACTCGGGACCTTGCGCTTGCATGGAAGGAAGCGGGACCACTGAGCTAAATCCCCGGCCCCTGCAAATTCAATTTCTTTCAGCACTTTGAGAACACTGTATTAGCCTTTTAGCTATATTTTTAATGCGGGAAAAAAAACTGAAGGAAAAACAATAAAGAGGATCCTGGTGCACTTTTTTTCACATTCATTCAAAGGATAAGTAAGCATTCTAAATTTGACTTTCTTATAAAAGATTTCTAGTATTGGACTGGCTAACGTTTTAAATGAAATTCTTGTAATTCTGTCGATCTTAATAACATGATTTCCTTTCTTTTCTTTCATAACATATATCAATGTCCTTTCTATGGAACAGCATTTAGTTTAGGTTTTAAAAGCATGATCCAAGTCGCACAATATTAAGCAACCATCATAATCACTATTACAACTCTGCCCGCCTTAAGAATAAGTAAACATTTTTAATACAGCAATGGAAGGGGGGGGGCTGAAAAGCGATTTGAACTGACTTCCCTTCCCCTTAATCATACCCGAGAATGCAAGTGTCCCGCATCTCAGATCAAACTGAGACTCGGTTTTACTGACGTAACCAGTAACCCTATCCACCTCTCACACTGCGGAGGCCGGCAGGGCAGAGGCTGCCGCCAAGTACACCACTCATCAGAGCCTGCCCCGTTCCACCCCCGCGTTTCAGTCATGCTTTCCAGAAATGGGGTCACTCACTCCGTAACTATTACACACGCGCAGCCTACCATCCGGTAATCCCTCAAAGTCCGCTGCGAGAATAGAAGGCAGCAAAAAGTCAAGAAGGAAGAGTCACAGACGCGCCACCATCAGGAATCGATTTTCCACTCGGGAGAGGAGCGCTGATACCCTGGAATGGGTCTTGTCCGGATTGCTTTCGCAGACCCTGAGTTGGTTCTGGGACAGGGGCCTGCTGCGAAAAGCTCGGTGGTGTGAAGTGTCCAGGGAAACTCTATTTTGCCTCGTTTGGGTATGCTCTTTGGGGTTTTTGTCATTCAGGTGGCTGTCTTAGGGAGAGTCACCAGATCCCCGGCGAGGAAAACCAGAAAGCTCTGTAAGCCGACTGCTGATCTCGAATATTACCCACTCTCCTCCGACCGACAGGAAACTCAAGTTAAACTCGTAGTGGCGGGGTCCTTGAGATCAGGCACCTCAGAGATGAAAGAGTAGGGGGTGGAGCACCTCAAGCTTCCACTTTTTCCCGGGAAGCAGCAGAAACTGCTGCAGCAGACTTGGGCGGGGGGCGCAGAACCCTTGGCAGTCTCGTACCCCTTACCCGAAACTCCCACAGGCCGCCACCCTTGCCCCCGGGCGCCCGTCTCCCAGCAGCAACCCCCTCCCTCGGCCGGACTGGAGTCTCGCCTTCTCGGCGAACCCAGTCCACACCTCTCTCATCTCCCAAAGTCGCCAAGGTCCAGCGACGCCCCGATCCAGCAGGGCCAAACTTCCCAACTCCCCGCCAGCCCTCACTCTGCCTCCTGCTTCCCCCACGCAAAGTTGATTAAAATCTGCTTCCAGCAAAGCCCCAGCACCCACTCCAAACCCCACGCGCCACCACACCGGCAGCTCCCCCCGAGTAAGGGAGGAAGGTGAGGGTGCGGGTGGGAGGAACAGACCGGCAGACAGACCAACCCCAGCACCCCGATCCGGAATCCCGCACCCAGGGGAGGCGCGACAGGAGCAGAAGTGGCCGAGCGACCGGCTCCCGTGAGGGGGTGCGCCGGCCCTGGCCACCCCGGCACTCACCTCAGCACTGTCGGACGGGCTCTCCACAGCCATCTTCTGCCACGGGTCCGCCAGCTGCGCCAGCGGCATCTTCCCCCCCACCCCGGCCCGCCGCCTTCACCGCCTCCTCCCTCCCCGCCCGCCCCGCAGCCGGCCCTGCTCCGTCGCCGCCTGAGCCCCACGGCAGCGGCGGCGGCAATAGCGGCAACGGCAACAGCAGCAGCAGCAGCAGCAGCAGCAACAACAGCAGCGGCAGCCGCGGCGGCCCCAGAGAGCTCGACGCAGACACTGACCGCCCAAACGCCGAGCGCCTGGCCAGAAACGCCCGAGCGCCCAGCGAGTCTTGCACCGCCGCCCGGCACCCGGTCTCGCCCCTTTCTTCCTCTCCTCCTTCCGCCGTCGGGACTAGGGCTCCGCCCCCTCCCCCCTCCCCCCCCCCCCCCCCCCGCGCCGGTTCCCGCGCCCGCTCCCAGCAGAACAGCGAGCGCCGCGCGCTCCCCCACTTCCGCTCACAACATGGCGCCTAAGCGATACCTGTCTCTCAGAGCGAGGCTGGCCAACGCCGCCACCGCCGCGCGCACCCAGGGGCGGGACTATCGGAAGACACGCCCCGAACCGCCTAGCTCCGCTCCGCCCTTTTCCCACCCCACCCCCCCTTCTTCGCCCGGGCTTCTGGGCGAGCCCAAGAGATCTGGGGGCGTCGGCGGGAGGCGGGGGAAAGACTCAGGAAGGGCAGGAGAGACGAAAGGATGGGCGCCTTTAATTGCCACGAGGCCAAGCAGGTCGGAAGCGCCTTGGAAATATGAGCGCGAACAGTGGTCCTCTCCAATCTAGGCTCTGGGAGCGCAGTCCTGGGCCAATGACCCGGTGAGGAGGCGTGAAATGTCTTTTCCGCCTTTCTCCTCAGGGGTGTGAGGGCGCCTAGCCTGTAAGCACATCTCGAAGTGACCCAAGACCTTCCCACTCCAGGATCACACGAGGGGCATTCACCTGCCCCTACCGGCTTTTGGATAGGGATTCGGAGGCTTCGTGCCTGGGAGCCCCGTGGGGGTTCGGCCCCCGGTGTGATTCAAGACCCTCCACGTTGACCCTCTTGTATTACATTTTTGATAGTAGTTCAGATTCATTCGTCCTCCAGAGTGGCTCCCTTTTCCCGCTCTAATGTTACTCCCCAAGTTCATAGAGCCCTAGAGCTTCACCCTGGACTTTCACCCCCCTCCCCAGTCTTCGAGAAAGAGGGAACAGGGAGGTTTCTTAAGGTTGTCTTTTTCCAAAGATGAGGAGTTATTAAAAATACTGTATCTTGTAGGCAGGAGAGCGAGATTCTTGCTCCTCTGTTGACTTTAAAAGATTCGATTTTTCAAAATCAGGCTGGCTGTGGGCGGAGGAGGAGAAAGGGAGGGGAGGGGCTCTAACTCCTCCTCCTGCCCAAGATGGGGAAGCCCTGGGTTGAGGAGACCCAATCCTTAGAAAGCGATGCAACCTCGGAAGATTTAGGGGGAAGAGGCCTGAATGCCCCCAGTGAGTCTCAGGAGGGTTTGACCCCCTAGTTCACCAAGCCAGGTGCCAGGGCTCGCTGAGTGCGCGCTGCTGAAATGTGTAAAAGTCCCCAGGCTGGAGTGGAAAGCTACTGCAGCCCCTGGCTAACCGCCCTGCAAAAGGAAGGAAAAAAGCAAAGGGAAATCTCCTGGCCGGCCTGTCCTTTTGAGTCCCTCGGGCCTCCAGGCATCCTAGTCCTCCCACGCCTGGCGACCGCAGCGCGTCTTCCCCGCTGTGCTCCCCATACACGCCTTTTAACAGCTTCCTTTCATCATCCCAGGACCCAGGCACCTAGAAAGCCCTAGCCTTCCTCCCTAACGCAAGTGTGAAAATGAGATTAGAGACCCACACCCAGCCGACCAGGTCTGTGCGGGTAGCGCAGTTTTCCCGCTGGGACCTGCCAGCTGCACGTGTTGGGCTTTGCTGACTACTGTCTAGTCAGCGCGCTCCTTGACCCAGGCTCCAGATTAGGGAGCCTCATGGCCTTCTCAGGAAGCTCTAACTTGTTTAGGGAGGCTGAGAGAAGGTAGGCGGAAATCCTTGCTGCGTGCTGTCTCTCTCAGTCGTGGACTGTGGGACATCTCGAGTTGGGCAACTAGGCAGGCTTAGCGTGGTTTAGGGAAGGGGAACAGATGGATCTACTTGGCTCATGCTCTTGCCACTTCCTTCATCATATTTGATTCAGGTGCTACAAATCCAGCCTGTGCCCGAACTCAGCTAATTTGGCAGCTTCTTTGTGTAATTCTCTACTATAAAACATGCTTGTAGAAGTTTGAAATAAGGAGTTATGTATTATTTTTCATTTAAGCACATAATGTTTAATTTTTCTTGCGTTTACATTGCCAAGCCACACTACCACTCCTCATAGCAAAAAGAAGTTCGTCAATTTGGTTGGTTTAAGGTAAATTAGCCCCCTAGTGATCAATTATTCCCAGTTAGCATTCTTGCTTTAGTAAAAACATACGTAGTTGAAGACAGTTATGTGCCTAACATTCTCCAGCGCTAATTATTCCACACAAAGCATGAAATAATCTTTTTAAAAATAAAGCAAATTGTTTGCCATTTTCAGTTTCAACTTTTACTTATTTCCATTTATCTTGAAAACCAAGAGGAATAACTTGTAAACAAAGTTAATTGATTTGTACAAGTATTGTGGATGCTGGTGACATTGTAGAAATCAAGCATTAAAAGGACCGTGAATGGATTAAAGTACCACTACCACAAATGTATTGAACATAGAATCAACTCAAAAATATCTGTGAATTGGTTAAGAATAACACTATTCTCTTTCCTCTCACACCCAAAGAGATTTTTTTTGTTAACAAGAAGCTTTTCTCTCTTTTATTTCTTCTATTAAATTCAAGAGCGTTGCCGTCATTATCTTTGGTTGAGGAATTTGGGGAAAATCAAATGAAATTGGAAGATTCTTTTAGCATATAAGTTGCTATTGCCCTAAGCAGGGCTACTTTTTTATTCTCCTAACAAAGAAGGACTCTAAGTGTACCTATTCAAAGAATAGCTGCCTCCTATCTCTAGATCTGCAAAGGCTAATATGGCAGCCATTAGCCACACTTGGCTACTGAGCACCTAAAATGAGGCTGGCAGTCAAAATTGAGATGTGCTGTAAGTGAAGTTTGTACCAGATTTCAAAGACTTAGTAATAAAATTACATATCTAATTAATACTTTTTACTATTGACTACATGTTGAAATATTTTGAATGTTGTGTTAAATTATTTCATTAAATTGATGTCACTTAAAAACATGTTTAGTGTGGCTACTATAAATATACTTAACCTACATGGCTTGTCAAGGTTTACACTACAGTTCTGTAAGGCAGCACTGTTCTAGAACTTTTTTTTTTTTTTTACCCTTTTATGTATTCCTACCAGTCCTATAACCTTCAGTGTCTATTTTGGCAACCTCAGTACAAAATCAGCAGAAAGGAGTGATTCAGTTATCTCCTAATCTCTTTACCCCAAGTATTCAGAACCAAAATACAGTGTTGGAAAGTCAGTACTGGAAACTACAACAAAAGAAACAGCAAACTTCAGTAGAAAATCTGAACTAGGTTTCCAAGAAATCATTCCTAATGTATGACAGTACAACTAGATTTAACCTTCTCCGCCCCTAACAATTTCCGGCTATAATTATAACCTTTGCATAGAAGTTTAAATTGGCATTTATGTAACAAAATAACATTTGTTCAAAAGTGGAGTTACCTCTGTCTGGAAAGGTTGCAAGATGACTTAGCTATGGCTCATGGTGCAATCTCTCCCTCACATATATCCAAAATTCACAGCTCTATACAGATTCTCCACTACTATAGAAAACTCATCAACTGTAAACATCATCACTTCCAGGAAAAGACTTTTTCTTTTACATTATCTGGAGCATATTTATTTTTGACAAAAGAAAAAGTAATCACTTGAGGCTATTTGATTGGTTTCAGAGAAAAAGAAAGTTAAGGTTTAGGCTTATATTCTATCTCACACAAGACAATAATTTAACAAAATACATGATTCCATGTCTTTTATGTGTGTGAAGTTTTACTTTGAAATTTCTCAAATAAAAATTATTGAGAATATTTTGGGGTTTGAGGATGTAGCTCAGTGGTAGACCTCTTGCCTAGCATTTGAGAGGCTGTGGGTTCAGTCCCAATAACTCCCCCAAAACCAAAACCAAAAGCAGAAACCAAATCTCAAACCAAACCAAACCAAACAAAAACCACCTCATGAGCACACATCTTAAGAGAAAACAGGATTATCTAGACCTGTTTGAATATTTTATTTAAGAAAATTCAAAATTGAAACATGTAAGAATGTTTTCTAGGTTTCCCTCCAAATATAAAGTTCAATGATTTTATAGTTGCATATGATGAAAACCATTATTAAAATCTATTAAGAACTAAGGCAAAGATATTTTTTTTTTCTGGTAGTGGGGCTTGAACCCAGGGATGCTCTACCACTGAGTTACATCTGAAGCCCTTTTTATATTTTGAGACATAGTCTCACTAAATTGGGCAGGCAGGACTCAACATTGTGATCCTCCTGCCTCGACTTCCCACAGTGCTAGGATTACAGGCATGCACCCTACCACACTTGGGTAAAGTGAAGGTATTGTATGATACAACTACATGAAATGTCTTAATATTTTTCCCAGTAAGATAAGACAGATCTGTGTCAAAATTCCAGGTTCTTTTTATCTTTCTAAGCTTCAACTTTGCCTAGAACAGGTACTGGCATATAGTAGTTGCTCAACAAATATTTGCAAAATAAGCTTTGTTTCCTTATCTGAAAATAGAGAAAATAACCACTTCTTAGGATTGTTGGGAAGACTGAATCAAGATAGCATCAGTCAAATATTAATCATAGCGTCTGCTAAATAGAAAGCATTTAATAAATGGAGCTATTGTTAGCAGCTTCAGAAGGGGAGTATTCCTGCAATTTCTGCATACACAATATATTTGAAATACATCACTCTCAAAAGTTTTTTTTTTTTTTTTTTGGTACCGAGGATCAAACTTGGGAATCGAACTTGGGACCTTGCGC